TGTGGAAGCTATGCAGATGATATTAAACACTCCATCAGGAAATGCATGTAGATATACATTTCTTTGTTGACAAAGTCAATGTTTACTTTTTGGAGTTAGTAAATGAGAATGATTGATTGTGAAACAAACTGGGGAGAAAAGCACTTTTTGTCATTAAACCAGATCCATAAGAAGGTAACAAACTTGAGCTGCTGAATAATTATAATGCTAGAGATCTGTAAATTTTCTTGGTGTCTTTGATTGTTTTATAGACTGTATATGCACTGAAAGCAGATTATTTCTTTGCCTTAAAATAATTTTAATACATTGTGTTCATACTGAGAACTTTTCTTTGTTTAAATGTTGAGAGACTTGTGTTTTTAAATGTAATTTGTTTATAATGTAGATTCCAACTAGTGATCCGCAGTAGCTGAGTGGCCCTGGAGAAGGTTACCTTGATACTGCTGTGTTAAACAGAATGCCTCGAGGAGACCTATGTATATTTTAGGTAGCAAGTTATTAATTTTGATTTCTTGAAGTTATTTGAGGTACAGATTTAATTAAGAGGATAATTCAATAAATTCAGAGTATGGCTATGCAAGACAGCATGTTACTATCAAATGAACATGTGTCACTCTCCAGGATAAAGGAGAGCTAACACAATCTAGGTAATTTGGGTATGTACTAGCTCTGATTCAGTGCAGTCCTTCTAAATTGGGTTGTCTGCAAGGCAGATATTGACTATTTTTGTGGTGTTCATATCCAGAACTTTGGGTTATGGATGTGTTTGTCTTCTGGAGTATGATGCCAAGCTCTCTGCCAAACCTGACTTATAAATCCTCTTGAACTATCGAAATGTAGAAGGATCTCCAAACTCAGTTGCTGCTGCTGTAATAATCTCTTCCTCCGCTCTGCACCCTGAGAGCTGCTGCAGCCTGGAGTGGTGCTTGAAAGCAGTCCAGGCCAAAAATGACTGGCAAGTCATCCCCAGTGGACTTCTTGCTTTATTTGCCTATTTGTTGGAAAGGTGGTGAAGAAACATGAAGCTATTCCTATGTAAAGATGGGGCAGGATTTGCTGATATAGATGCCTTGCTGTGAAGGTGGCTCCTGGACCTAAACTAGTTTTGTAGCCAGTGGCCACTTCTGTGCTGTTTGCTTCTGAAAGAATAAGCTTGTTGTTGTGTAATAATTCATGTACTTCAGATTATTTCCAGTTGACTTTGTATCTTAATCCAAAAATAGTTACACCATTTAATAGTATTCATTGTAATGTTGTTCTGCTAGGACTCCTTGTTAAATCCAGAGTTTTATTATTAGTAGTTTATTTCTCATAAATACAAGAGTGTGATGGGCTGGTTGGCTATTTCTGATTGGTTTGGATTTCTAAAGGTGACTGTATTTCGTCTCTAGTTTTTGAATTATATTGATGTTCTATAAAATGAAGATTCAGTAGGTTTCAGTTTTGTTGTTTTTGAAATATAATCAGCCTTTATGAAATAGACTAAAAATATAAAACTTTTACAGAAATTAAACTGCTTTTACACACACAATGTCTTTCCATGATTTCTAGTAGTTTGTATTCTCTAACATAACAAGCTCTTGGTAGCTGCTTGAGACTTCTCTTGAGGCCCAGGTAGCCCAATATGATTAAAACCTGCAGTATAAACCATTAAGCACTTAGTTTCAACTGTTTTGCAGTCTTTGTTGTTATCCATTCATGCTTGAGATTGCAGGGTCAATTCAGATATTTATGAAGGAATTGCATTTGTTTCAAGAATCTCCTGGGATTTGCTTCTTTGTTTTTGTTGACATTGGTGGTTTTTTTTTGTGAACTAAAACAGAAAAGGGATAAATTACACCTCTGAGGTTTTAGCTGTTAGGGACAGGTTTTCAATACCTAGGATTGTGTGATTTAAATCAAGTACTTAAGTAATCCTTAAATTTGAAAATCAATATATTTGAAATTTGTGGTGGTTGAGGAAGGGGAGTTGCTGGATTCTTTGTACTGTCTAGGAAGATTGCATTATAATTAGCTTCTGCAGAGGTAAAGATTTAGTGAATTACTTATGTGTGAAGTAGGCAGCCCTTGGTACTAGGCTGAAAGTTTCAGTTGTCATGTAGACTCAAATGATGGCTTTTGTTATAATGTTTGCTAGTAATTACATTCGTACTATACAAAAAAAATCTATGATGTATTTGTGTCGCAATATTTGGGGTATTCTTCATGAACTACAGCAATGCCAAAGAAATCTAAATGCTAAGGGGAATTGTTGTTATGAATTACTAAGTAGCAGATTTCCAGTTTGTGTGCAGGTTTACTCAGAATAAAAGTAGATACGAACTGATAGTAAAAGTAGATATGAGAAGCCCCTAGATGGGGCTGGATCATGAAAATCCTCCCAGCTGTCACTGGATCCTGAAAATCTGGGGATTTTGAACTAATGGAGGTGGCATGGAGACATCTTTTTTTTTTGAGAGATTTGCCTGGTGCATTGAAGGCTGAACTGGCACTGAGCTAGAGAAGGCACCAACAACTTGCAGTAAGGTGAACAAGGAGGAATAGATTTACCAAGTTACAGGGTATTATGGGAAAGGAAGATTTGAAACTCCAAAGAGTTGAATAGCAACAAAACATTTCAGAAAGGAGTGGGGGAATATTGGGGAAAAGTGCACAAGACTGTTTATATGTATGAAATAAATTGTTTTGCAGTATCTTTTCTGGCTGCTTTTGGTACCAGTGGGACTCTATTGGTGTCTTAGTGCAGGAAGTAGGTGGTTGTGGGGTTTTCATCTTGATACCTAGAAATAGCTAACAATATGTAGTCCTTTTCTATAAGGAAGCTTTTGGTTTTGTAAAATGTACATTCTTAATTAAGCTAAAGCTTGAATGACTTTGTTAAGAACTGTAAACCACATTGGGATTCAGAACAACTTTATCCATATAAACTAATCGTGGCGATAAAGGTGCTGTTTCTTCAACTTAGTGCTGCAGGAAGGATGACACAGGCTAATCTTGGTAGCATTTGATCAAAATAAATTACTTAGTTGCTAAGGTGTGTGTACTAGAAAGCACAAAAACCTGCTGCATGATTGTCTGTGCTACTGCTCTAAGATTTTTTGGTTGTTTTTTTTCTCTGTTTATATTGTGAGACCAGTGCTGTAGTGATAAAACTTTTGTGACTTTATAGAAGCAATAGTTGAAATGTGTGGTGATTCCAGGAGGTTATGTGAACTCTCATATACTTGAGAATATAGCAAATTCAGGAGCTATTCAGGCTCTCTCCAAGCCTCCAGAAAGGAACATGCAGTTAGGTGACAAACTAATATGCTTTTTGTTGGTAGGATTAACATTTTCCAAGTTCAGACAAGGTCAGCAAAACTGAAGAAAAAATGAAAATGCTTAAGTGTCTCTCTTCCTTTTTATACATTTGTTATATTTACCTGCTACTTATTTCTTACTGTATTGTTCAAAATATTGTCTCACTGCTGCTTGTGAGACAGCAGTGAGACAATATTTTGACCAATATTGTGAGACAGCTTGTTTGTAGATGTTTTTTGTTGTTTTCTGGCCTTGTTACTTCTGAACAAGCCAATAGTGTATCCGACAGCAGTGAGACGATATTTTGAACAATATTGTGAGACAGCTTGTTTGTAGTTGTTTTTTGTTGTTTTCTGGCCTTGTTATTTCTGAACAAGCCAATAGTGTATCTAGACTATGTAACTTCTAACTTGTTTGACACACTTGACAGCCTTCATACTACTTGCAAATAAAATTCATTTTCATAAAGAACAAAATTTCCTAATAATAAACCAAAAATATTGTGCAGAATTATGGGTCAGAAGGGACTCACAATGATTATGGAGTCCAGCTCTTAAGTGAATGATCCATACAGGGACCAAAACCACAAACTCTGTTATTCACACCATGCTCTGAACAACTAAACTCATCTCAGGGTCTTGTATTTCTCCAATGTTAATACTAATTTTCTAAAAGAGCACCAATTTTAGACAATATATTTTCAGTTTCAAGTGCTGAAGATATAAAATAGTTTTAAAAATTGGTAAGCATTGGAAATGTCAAATTGTCATTCTAAATAAGTCTTACTGACATCTAACAATCTTTTACAGTTTAAACAATGGCATGCTTTCTTAAATACACTCGGAAAGGGAGCTTGCAAAAAGCAGAATGAGGAAAAACTGATTGTTTGGTTTCATGGTTATATCTGTATGTTACTTGAAAGAAAAGTATTCTGAACTCTGAATACATGTTAAAGACCAATCTAATTAAACTTTTTCAACTTAAACATTCTTGTGAGATGTAAGAAGACTTTAAACTCCAAACTTACCTATTTTAATATTCTTGGTAAAATGTTGGAGATGTTTGTCCCTTTTTTGTTTGACTAAAAAATATTTGGCAAATGCATATAAATGAGGATACAATGGATTAGAAATCAAACATGAGCCTGCTTAAATAATTCTCAAGATTTTCTGGTTCACGTGTAGTGATATTGAACTCTTTAGTCATAGGCTTTAATTTGTGCATGGTGCTGACCTGATGCTGTGCAGGGACACTCATTGCATCCCTTCATTCAATTCACTCTAATTATCCCCAACTTCCTGGGGAGCCTGCTTAGAACTGGTCATGAATGTTTGTTATTAAGTATTAAGATATTAGACTACCCTGGTTACAAGTAACAAAGTAGTTTTTAGTCTGAATTTACATTTAGATGATCAGTATAGGAAGGTGAAATTATATTTGTCTTGATTTTGTTTAATCAAATTCAAAGTAATGTATTAGAACAATAAAACATTTTGCAAGTGACTTAAGCGCAGAGCTAAATGAAACGAGATTTACTGTGCAAGTAGTTTTATGCCAGTGTTGGTAATTGCAGTGTGTATTTTAGAGTGGCTGTGGTATGTAAATGATCTTTGACACAATCAGATTTGTGTTCATGTAACTGGGTGATGCTAATTATTTTTGCTGGGAGCATCTGTTAATGCAGACTATTGCCTCCTCAGGTTCACGTGAAAATGGCGGATGAAGCTGTCTGTGTTGGCCCAGCTCCCACCAGCAAAAGCTACCTCAACATGGATGCCATCATGGAAGTCATTAGGAAAACCAGGGCCCAAGCTGTGAGTCTGAATGTGTCTATCTGCTGCAGCTGTTTCATATATAGAAAGCAGAAAAGCCAGAGTTTGTATTTTTTTTTAAAAGGTGTATGGGGGGGAAGTGATTGAATATGCTATTCCAGTTAGTTCATGTCACATGAGTTAAATGTGTCTGAAATCGCTACTGGAAATCAAAGGCTTTGTAGCATCTGGCAGCACTGGTCGCTGATCCTGCAGGTGGCTGCTGGATTCAGCTTTCACACCAGGGAGCAGCTTCAGTTCATTTCCAAATTTGCTGGGGGAAAAAAAAATCCCAATTAGTTTTGAGTGCTAACCCTTTATATGCCATAATGGCTTTTTTGAATGTTTTACAAAGTGTGTCCAGAAAGGCTTTTGCTTAAACTGCATTTGAATCACTTTCTGTATCGTATAAATGTTACTTGCAGGAAGGTAAATGGTGCATCCCATAATTGCTTTTGTTTCAGAAGGTTCACAAAATGCACATTACCTTATTTGTGTAAATGTGGGCATGTCTGCCTATTTTCCCTCCAAGTTGGCCAGAAATTCAAAGCATAACAGTGATCAGTAGGAAAAACTAATATGTAGTCATGTTCACATTCCTAATGTTCTTTGTTCTGTCACTGAAATGAATGTATTATTCAGAGCTACTGTACACAGAGCATTTATTAAAATGAAATTTGATGTGTACATATCAGCAACACTGACTACCCTTGAACAGTTGGATCAGCACTAGCACTGTGATTTCTTTCTAACACGATGTTTTGGTACAGTGCCTTTAGGGGCCAGAAACAAAACCAGTATTTTCTTCCCTCTGAGTTTCTGAATATGAAACCCAGTTATTGGCTCTTTAAAAGAGGTGAATACAATGACTTATGCTTTGTATGTCAGAGTATATTAGATCAAGAATCTTATGTGACTTGCAAAAAGTAAAATGAAAACTTTCTCATGCTCCTCTCAAGTCATTAGGCTGAATGTATATTGGGGTGTGAGTAGCAAATGAGGCACACAGGATGCTTGATTTAGACTAATGAAGAGAGTATTTTGTGCTGTCTAGCCGGGGTCACTACAGGTAGGGGGCTTATGACTGTGGACCTGTGCACCATTGTTGTGGTTAGTGTTGGAAATATTTTGGGATACAGAGTACTTTATAGTGGTTGCTGAGGAGAGTGTGGATGAGCATAATTGGGGAAATCTGCAATGGAGCTAAAAAGAGCAAAAGGAGGCAAATCACCAAAGGTAATGTCCATTTGCTCTGCAAACAGCTCTGTTTGCTCTGCAAGCAACCCTGTTTTCTCCCTAGTTAAATAAGGAAAGTTTGTTTCAGAAATGATAGCTCAACTTGAGTTAGGACAGAAAAATCAGTGTGTTAAGAGAGTTTCTTATGGTATTCAACCTATTTAAGTGCTTAGTGATCTACTTTACCATCCCCAGTATCTGAAAACATGCTAATGACTTTGGTGTCTGGTTTCAGAACTCAGTCAGCTTGAATTTTTTCTTTTGTCTTCCAAGGTACACCCAGGATATGGATTTCTTTCAGAAAATAAAGAATTTGCTAGACGTTTGGTAAGTTATTTTTATTTGCTTGGCTGTGACTGTTGCCTTAGATGTCACATGCTCTTTTCAAGGTATCTAAGGAATCAAGCTACCAACTCCAGGCAAATCTAAAAGATACTTCAACATAGTGGTTTTCAGTATGCTTTCTGTACATGTGGATTCCTTGCATTTTGGGGATGTAATTGCAGGCTGAGTTTTCTTTTGTGAGAAGTCTGTTTGTAAGAACTTTACCCAGGATGTAAAAACCTTTCAGGATTTTCGCTTATGCCTGGGCTGTTTATGAGACTGCTCTGCAAAACTGGGTCACTGAAATGATCTAGGTTAAAAGTATCTGGTTTTAAGTGATCATCTTGGTGATTCATAGCACAGCTGGTGAACAGCTGTATCAGCAGCCCTGAGAAGGTGCTGAACTGCACTTTGGGATGGGAATAGAAAGCTGTTTAAAAATTGGCTTCTCTGCTGGTGGTATTGTGTTGTGGAGTTGCATTCTCTGAAAGGACCAAAGAGTCAAGAGGGTGCTGTTTTCACTTTGTCTGAATTTATAAAAATTATTGTTCAAACCCTCTTTACTTCTATAAGGTTTTTGTATATCATGAACTGATTATATGGTCTGATTTTATTTTTTTTCCCCAAAAGTTTTCATGCAGCTGCTTAAAAGTGTGGGCAGTGCTAGGAGGAAGTTATATTCACAATGTTTGAACAAAGTCCTGGGAGGATGCTGTATGTGCAGTCACTGCAGATCATGTGTTATTCTCTACTGGTTTTGCTCAGAATAAGGACAAGCACATACTACATGGAAGTTCAAAGTAAAAAGCCATTGCAGCTACCAACTTCGTTATGGAGTAAATGAACCATGTAGCTGAAGAAATTCCTTGTTTTACAGCCAGCAAGAGAAATTTGTTTCTGCTTTTGAGAAAAATCTACACCTTTTTGATTTAGGATAAAAAACTTAGACAAAAAATGTGATTCTTGAATGGTGGTTCTTTTGTCCTTAGCATTGGTGGAACAGGTTTCCATGTACCTTCCTTAACTATGTTCCTTTAGGTTTGAGTTCTAGTTGGAATACAGACCCTTACTATTTAGTTATTTGGTGTTAGAGGATACCACCTGCTTATTAAGAGGACTATTGGAGAATGAAATCTAAAAATTTCATACTTGAGTTGCTGTGATTTTTTTAAAGCTCCTAGACAAAAACAAGTGCAGGTTCTGTGGGATGCTGTGTACACCCTGCTGGGTGCTGGTGATGTTAAAGTTGAAAGGAATTCTAAACACTTGGTGTTTGCTAGGATTTACCAAATCTGGGGTAATCTCTTACATGTTATTTTTATACAGTTTAGCAGCTTTCTTTATCACTGTTCTGCTTCGTGTACCAGAGGTTCTTTTTACAGTGAAGATTCCTGGCTTAATTTATGACAAACTCTGTTCTCAATGGATTAGACCAGCAGGATAAATGGCTTTAGTTGGCAGTTCCTGGTTTTTTACTAACAAAAAAATTTAATGAAATGGGAGTGTTCACTTATGCTGTTTTGCTTTGTTTTGCTGCTGAACATGGAGACTTGGTAGTTGTTATTCTGAACTGGGCACATTCTAGTGGTGTGGTTGTTATTAACAATAAAATATAAATGGTGTGGTAATGTTAGTTATACTATTGGTGATGTGACAGTCTGGAACAATTTTTTTGGCAGGATTAAGCAGAAATGGAGAAAGTACAGACATTCCTGTAGATCCTCTCCACTCTCCTGTTTCTCAACTTTTCACTCAGATCCTAGGAAAGTTTCTGAACAATTTCCTGAAATAATGTGGTGACTAAAAACACGTTTGAGTTTTTGGTTGGTGCTGCAGTCTCAAAATAGCTTTAATTATGTTTCAGAAACCTGGTGTGTTCAGTTCTCTAAAAATATAATAAAACAAGGTAATGTGATTTTGCTTTCTGAAATGCACTATTTAAAGTCTCAATTAAGACATAATCATGCTTCCCTTGATGTCAGTGGCTCTAGAAGATCAAACCCCTAGTGAGAACTGGTGAAATGATCTATCTTTTTATCCCTAGGGCTGCTTGTATTTTTTTCAAGACACTCTGATTAATATAGTTAGGAGGAAAACTTGCCTGCTGTTTCTTTTCTTTATTGAAGACTGTAACTGTTATGTTGTTAAACTGTTATGAAGTTGCAGAAGACATTTTTGTTGTTTTCTTTCTCCCTATCCCATTCTTTGTATATACACTATTTTGTTCCTTTGCACTGAAAGTAGTGATGGAACTTGGGAAACTTGGGCTTATTTCCTGGTATGTATGTGTACTTTTAAAACAAATTTCTTAAATTGGGAAACTGAGAAAGACACTAAACTTTCTAAACTTGTCAGTCTATCTGTAAGAACAGTAATGAGCTCAAAGCAAAGCTTTGTCTTCAATTAACGCATGGAGGGTCAGTTCACATGTAATCCCACTGCATGTGATTTGAACAAAAGCCTGTCTTTTTGTTCATTATTGTCTGTATGACTCATGGAGTAGGATACAGCTGTAGACAGTACTTTTGATAGATACTTGGAGTATTGAAAATTGCTGGTCTTAAGTTTCTGAAGAAGAAAAAAATAATTTTGTTCTCTCTTAAAATGGGCAAGAGAGATGAAATAAATGATCCTTTGTTTCCAAAATAAAATTTCCAAAAAAGAATCAGTGGGCGAATATCTGGCATGCTGTTCATTGTGATTCAGTAAACAAATTGGTGCAGTCAGTCCTGTCTTTGTGTATCTGCTCTGGTTGCTGTTGTTGGCTGACAGAAAAGAGATCTATGGCATTTATACTGAGTGAGTCTATCAAAGGTTTTATAAACATTAAGGTAAATTTCTTAAAGATTGGTATTTGAACATGGACTCTTTTGATGATTTTATGATAATGATGATAACATTATTGTGTAGGATAACAAAATATGGGTTTATGTAAGGGGGTGTATTTCCTTAGAATCAGCAAATAAATTGATACTTTTAGTTTATTACATGAAAATATATTTGAATGCATAATTTCCCTCCTTCAAATAATAATTGCATAATATTCAGTATTGTCATAAATGTTAAGGTGAAGTTAAAATCTATTGCTGCATTAGAAAACAATTGCTAGCATACTTTGCCAGATGCTATGCAGAATTTCAAGAGCAGTTTGTTCCTTTCCTGCTTTAGAAGAGTATGCTAGTGACCGCTGTATTTAGGTTAGCTTGCTTAATGTTTCTTATTTTTGATAATTAATTTTCTGAGAAAGCCTTTTCTGAGAAGCTCTGTCACCTCTGTTACCTAAAGCAGATCTTTGGAATTTGGGAAGGAGATAGGCCTGAGACTAAGATGAGCCTTTTGGTTGACCTGTAATTGAAATATATACTTTTCTGAAATTGCCATTGTTTTTTCCTTGCTTGCCAACCTCCAGAGCAGCTGTTTTGGTGGGGGGGATGGGAGTGCTGAGTCGGGTCTCTTAACATGCTGAATAGTTTGGGAGGATTGGCCCATGGTCTCAGTGACTCTGTAATGGGTTTGGTGTGTTTGTGGTGTTTTTTTTTTTTTTTTTGTTTGTTGTTGTTTGTTTGGAGTTTTTTTGGGTTTTTTTTTGGGTCTGGGTGAGAAAAGAGTGAGAAGAAAGTGAGTGTGTGATTGGCTTGCGCAGTCACTTTTCCAGAGTCTGTGTGTCTAGCTGATGTTAGCAGCAAGTAGGAGTCTTACTCCTGCAGTTGAGGTTATGCTTCTTTCCTGCTTCCTGGTAGTGATTATGCACCTTGATGAATGGTGACTCGGTATTGCAGTCAGTCATAATGGGAGCAATTTTCTTCTTAATTTAAAGAAACACAAATGAACTTCCACTTTACTGACTGCCATGTAAGTCCCTTGTGATGCTACTGTTAAAAACAAACCAAACAAAAAATCAACTGAATTACTATTTTGCAAGCCTAGTAGGAAAAATATCAGTTTGCAAGATTATAAATCTTCAGTGTATTTTGATGGCTTTTGTGTATGTGTTGAGAGTTTGTGCTTTCATAAAAGGTCGTGGATTGTGGTGTATTTAGTCCAAAAAAATGATTTGATATGTGCATAAAATTATCTGCAAATGATAGCAGTTAGTTACAAATGCAGCCTTTATGTGGAATACTTTTTTCTGAATGTAGCCTTGACAATATTCTGACGCTCTGTTTGTTGACGCAAAAATAGCCACTACCTCCTGCCAAAATCCACTCCTTGGGATAGAAGCCACGACCATGGTGAGAAAAAAACATTCAATTTTGGAATAAGATATGAAACTTTTGGGGGTTCCTAGTGAAATCTGGTTGTATACATATTTTGTGCCTTTTTAACAGCTACTGTTTGACGTGACTGCGGGAGAACAAAGCACCCAGTGCTATTTCTCTTTACCTTTGAAGCTAGATTAACATTCTTGGTGGAATTAAAAATCCCATCCCAATGTGTTGTCTGAAATAAATGGGCAAACAATGTATATGGAAATGGTTGATCACATATTTGTAAATGGCTGCTAAGTTTGAGAAGGAAAAGGTAAACCAAAGAACAACTTGTGTCACCTTTTGTAAAGGGGACACCTGTCTGATCTGTGAAGAGCATTGTGCAGGTGGATCTACAGACCTATGCACAGCTAATTATGAGATTCTCACAATGTTAAATGTAAACTCTTACTGGCTGAAGTATTTCTTTACCATTGTTGTGCATTGCTTTGTTAACTTGTAAGCAAATTGTGAAGTTCCTTCATTGTGGTGGATGTTACATTTTTGAGAAACATTTGGTCTGATTCTCATGCTGTTCCCACATGCATTAGCTTTTTACCTGACAACTCTTGTGACTGGTTAGAATTTGTGCTTCCCATATTGTGAAAAGGTGGTCCAAAAAAGGCAATGGAAGTTGGTATCAAGAAGCTGCTTATGGCAGAGATTGTATACTTCAAGGAGTGGGAAAGACAGAGCTTTTAATGTGGGTTTTATACACCATGCTTTGCAGGCCAGAGTTTCATTGCCTACCAAAGC